CCCCCCCCCCATATCTAAGAACTCAACAAAAAAAGAAATAAGCAGTGCCGAAACGGGATGAAAAAACCAAAATCCAGGCAAAAAATCCCGCACCTCAAATAAAAATTCCCCCCAAAAAAAAAACAAAACTCGTGAGGCAGGTGACACTCACTGGGGCGTGTGCCTTGGTGCGGGGTGGTGGTAAGGATAGTACTGGTAGTGATGGTGTTGTACTCCTTGCCATACCTCGGAGCCCGTCTCGTGCTGATGTCCCTGATGATGTCCGTACCCCCCACTCCCATAATGCACAGCAGTGACGGAGTACTGCTGATGCTGTTGTGACTTCCCCCTGGGACTGATGGGTCCAGTCTGGCTGTTGGGTGAGGGCTGTTTCCACTTGCAGTCGCCATTGATGGTGTTCATCTCGGCCAGACTCTTGAGCGGATCAACATTTGAATTCGCATTATTGGAGTGCGAGGAGTGTGTGGAATGTGGAGTTGGCGGGCTGTAGGTTCCATTGTTTCTGGGTGGAGATCTGGACGGTGGAGGTCCCCACATGAGGACAGTCTGTCTGGGGGCCTCACTGCCGTAGACCTCCGGCTTGACATCCTCCATTTTGGGGGTCCTGACGCCGTTGGCTGCAGTGACCGGTGAACTTCCTGCTGAATTACTCGAGGAGGCGCCCTCTAGCGAGTGTCTGCTCCCAGTTCTGACGTTGATGTCGGTATTTGGGTGGATAGCAGCTGTCGTCACAGGACTGGCAGCGTAGGGGGAGCCCCCAACGCTGTTCGGATGTCTCGTGTCGACGTAACTGTACTTGGGGGATTCTAATTGTTGACAGTAGAGCCTGTCCTCGGTTTTGGTCAGCTGGTGGGTATCGTAGGTCGGCAAGGAGACATCTATGAACCCGTTGTAGGCCGTTGGCGTGTGGTATTCCGGATAGTACGAGCCTAAGGGGCGATACTGGAAGAGATTCTCAGTCGCTGTGAGGTAGCGGTTGTCCAGGGCTGCGGGGGGATAGAGGGTCTGGTGGTAGTTACCCGTGTGACCTATGTACGTAGTCAGGGATGGATCTGTCGTTGCCACCGCTGCTGGCGCGTAAGGGGTTGGGTACATTGTATTTAGGTTGCTGTAGGCTGCCGCCACTGCTGCTGCGGTACTCGTGTCAGCTGCTAGGTAGTCCACCGACGCCACCGTCGGCGTCGCTGGCGGCGAGACTGGCGACTGGTTCGAGAGCTTTGTTCTTTTACTCCGGCAGGTGGAGAGGAAGTCCCGGAGTTGGGTCTTGTAGCGACGGTTCACGCGTTGGGGGGTCGGCTGGGCTGGCAGGGTCGACGCCATGGAGGGACCCGTGAGGCTCTCCGAGTCGGAAAAGTAGCTGTTCGTTAGGCCTGCGTCCAGGTACGATACCTTGAAGTCCATCGTACGCTTCCCGAGGAGATCGCGACCTTCTTCTTCCCTGGGGACAATCATTGACGGGGGTTCAGATGGGGGAAATATTGAAAATACAATCAGCCCCAAAATAATTCCATTTTGCTAGAACCTCTATTCATTGGCCACAAGATGAAGTAGAGTTTGATCCTTTAAATTAGTTTCTATGTAAATTCTTTGACACTATTCGTAGGAAGAGGTGCTGTCTAGCACCAGATAATTAAGAGCGTTACTCATAAATTCATAAGGCCTCTGAAGTCAACTATGTTTAGCAGAGATTGGTCAGCAAAACTGGTGGTGCTCTAACCCCAAGATGCTTAATGTAAACAGTTATTATCTTACTCATTATAAAGCTAATTAATAAGTAGACTTACATGAGAGGTCGATGTGTGCTTATGACAAAGTCCGGTTTAGAGTTCTTGTACACAAGCCTCGAACTCGTTTGCAGCCATTGCCATCCACCGTCCTTCATTTGATACCTATACGCAATCATCCCTGAGGCACCAGTTTTAAGAACTGAAATGAGAAAGAATTATAAATTAACTTGAGGCGTGGAAAAAATTATCCAATAGAAATGGATCTTGGGGATTTCTCCTGATCTTATTCCACTTGTCGTCAATCTTGTCTTCAACAATTCTAAACGATTGCTGTCTGATTATGATTAAAACCAAAAAGAACAGACACATCAACATCAATTGATTTGAATTAATTCAGAATTGATTAGCGGTAAACTAATATAAAACTGACAATTCATAAACTCTCAAAAAAAAAGACCGATACATACGTTCTTGATGTGCACTAGCCACGTACGCCATATCGTCGTAATGCACCAGGTTATATCCACTCATATTAGCTAACTCTGCGTCCGTATACCCCAGCAGCATCTTCCCCCTCTGGTCCATCGACACAAATGCCAGATTCAAATTATGTTTGCTCTTGAACATGACCTCCTTCTGCGGCACTTCCAACAACGAGGGCGGACCAAATGGTGTGCACAGGGCGAACAAAGCCAGCGGTGGCTCCTCCGTTTTTCTATTCTGACCATGAAGCACCTTGACTCGCCCCCGAATGTCTAATCTCTGAAAGGAAAATTAAATGCCCTTCAGTCGACAAAAATTGGATAGAGTCAACGTGGGACAGGACAACACGAACTCTTCTGCTTCTTCTTCGACTCTTTCTTCTCGCGGGGGAACACAGAAGCGTTCCGCAACGCCGTAAACCCTTTTACGATTACAGTTTCATTTTCATAAACGTCAGGGTACCTGTGTTTTTGCTGTGGGGGGTCTTGAAGGGGAGGGGGAGAGGGGTTGACTACTTGAATATCGTTCGAGTCGTCATGTGGTCCGGGGATAATGTCTTTTGTCTGTCGTACAGAGGAGACCGCGCGGTTTTGTGTTTGAGGTAAGATAATTACCTAATGTTTTGCTCGGCAATGAGCGATGGGTGTCTCTGAATTTTTTCAGGAGGGGGGGAGGGGGTGATTCATGTGTTCGGGTTCAGGTGGAAAAAGAGGTAAGAAGGAGGAAGTGGTTTTTTAAAAAGTAGATTAGTTTCTGGTTCAGGATTACTGCGGAAAGTTGAATGTGAATTTCGCTGGAATTTCTGTACGATTCCTGGTAATTTTGATGACATGAGTTCCACTGGAATTTCAAGGAACTTCGTCATTAAAAATTTAAAATTCAGTGGAAAAGTCAGTGGAAGCTGGTGGAAGAAGCAGGAATGTTAATGTTTCAGGTGGGAAAACGGGTGAAAAAGAGGAAAGGTTTTTTTGCGTTTAGATTATTTTTGGTTCCGGATAATTGCGAGAAAAGTTGGATGTGAACTTCGGTTGACATTTCCGGTACACTCGCTGGTATTTTTATCACATTATAGTTCCGTCATTGTCCTGTGGCTGGAGCGAAGCGAGCGAACCGAGCGGCGGGGGAGGGGGCACTCCGGAGTTGGCGAGCGAAGCGAGCCAGGGACAAAACCCCCTAGTATAATTCGATTAATTTTTGGCTCCGGATGAATGTGAGGAAAGTGAAATGTCAATCATTTACAGTGTTAAGTTTAACCTGCGTCAGCGCAAGCTCATCCCTCCCCCTCCGAAAAGCGTCGCAAACTCGTGACTCCCCGGGAAATCAATTAATGAGTGGGTAACGAGGGAACGAGATATCCCCGGGTAATCGATAACACCGTTGAAGTAAGTACGTCAGAAGAGATTTCGAGCGTCATGGATGGAGGCTCACACGCGGGCATGCCGGCATCTCCGCAGTATCGTGTGGGTGCAGAGAGGCGAATCAATCGCGCCGAGAGGGATGGAGTTAGCAGAGGAGAAAGAGAGAGGGAGAGAGAAAGGAGGGGTCTTCCGTGAATCCGCTTTTAGCCCGTCCAGGCAGGACATCACGAAACACTTCCCGAACGTTTCTCGCGTGACTAGCGATTCTCATCCGCGTCAGGGTATTCGATGAATGAACGTGAATACTTCTCCTTCTTTACCCCCGTCTCTCTCCTTTTCTACGCTAATTCCACTTGCGTTTGCCCATTTATAATTGTGGAGAAACTCGTTGTCAAAAATTTGGGGAATTCCGGGGTTGGCGGGAAGTTTAATTGGCGGCTACTGAGGAAAGAGCAGTGGGGACGCCATTTTGGATGCGTCGGAGGGACGCGAGACCGGTTGCGGAGAGAAATATTAGAAATGGTAGAAAATTTTGGTCGCAAAATCGTCAATGGACCTTTTTTGGAGGGGTTCATTGCCTCGAGATTAGTCTTGACAATTTAAGGTGTTTGGCCTGCATTTTTATTAATATTATTTTAAAAAAATAAAATTAATAACGAAAAAAAAAATTTTTAATTTTTTTTCATTATCTTGACTTTTCACACGAACTACCTTAAGGATATCCAAGCATCTTTTACAGTTTGGCACAGAATACACTATAGATCAAGTACTTTCAATTATCAAATTTATTAATTATTTCAATTATTTTAATTAATTATTGTCAATTCCTTAATTATCTTTTTAAACATTCGTTGTTTATAAATAAATAATTGAAACTGATTCTGGTAAAATTCTGAATATGAATAAATAGGAAAGTATTTCACTGGAGACAAAATCGAAATAAATTGTGTAATTTTTTTTCATTATTTAAAGTACGACAAAATGTTGCAAATTAAAATTCATAATCATTCTTCACGATTATTACCACCCAATTAATTTCCACGTTAATTCCCCACCTAATGAATGTCTAAACGAGAAACGGGAAATAGAATTTTCACCGAGTTGAATGTTTTTCGGATAATTGGCAGACAAGAGGGGGAATGATGTTTAATGGATCTGCCGGGATTTTTACTTCACGCTTGAGGTAATCTTCAGAGACTGTGCGATACACCGGGGCGCCTCAACGGCGCTATACGGAGTCAGCGGAAAAAAGCAATTATCTTCTCTCGCGCCAGTTGGGATAAAGAAACTCGAGTTATAAGATCTCATTCAGTCTTTTCACCTACGCGCTTTATGACAGTGAAATTATTAATTAAGGTTTTTATTTTTATTCTGCACGAGTCAGGGATTTCTCTTGCATTTTGCGGAGGGTAGGGACTCACCAAAAATCCTGAAGTGTTGTCCAGCAGACACCTGAAGCGAACGGTGAAACTTCGCTCCAGTAGGTGACAGTGTTGGAGGGAGAGGGCATCGTGAAGGGGCAAATTTGCATTTTCAACTGGTAAAAAAGAATTCCACATCAGTTGACGCTGGAGCTCTTCGCGGTCCTCACTGTGGACCAGTTCGTAGACACTTTGATGAACAATATCGGACTGCAAATGATGAAGAATTGTGTATTATTGGCAAGTTAATGGGCATTAAATTAAATTATCTCGATAAAAGTGATTCGCACGTTAAAAGATTCTCCTCAAAATTAAAAGTATTTCTTCCCGGAATCAATAAACGATTAATGAAAATGTTATTTCATAACGTTATTTATTAAATTGACGTTAAACAATAAAATTATAAACCAGAAAAATTTTAGAAAATGTTTTTATATGAAATTACTGCATTGGCGAAATATTTGCAAAATAATCAACACATTTTTTCATTAAAAAATGAACGATTCGATGTATTGTAATATGAAATTTAAAAAACATTAAAATATTTTCCTCTAAATTAATATTACTCCCTCCCGGAATCAATAAATAATTGATAAAAATGTTATTTCATCGCTCTCAGTCCCTAAAAACTGAATAATCACCCGTAAATTGATTAACCCATGAAAAAAAACACGGCACTACGTTGAAATAGAGTTCTGGGATAGCATCCCCTAACGAAAGCAGAGTGGCGCAGTGGAAGCGTGCTGGGCCCATAACCCAGAGGTCCGTGGATCGAAACCACGCTCTGCTAATACAATTTTTTTATTTTCTCAATTTATCTCCATTTGAAATAAAACAAAAATAAAGCAACCAGCCAACAAAGTTGACATGATTGGCATGAATATTTAACTCCCTAATAACCCAAATTCGAGAAAAAAACTTTCACGTGTAACCCGTACTATAGACAGGTGATTACGAAAGTTGGCTGTGTAAAGCCTGAGAAAAAGCATTTCAATGTCTCATTTGAATAATCCACGAAGAGGATATATGAAAGCCAAGCTATAATCACGATAAAAAGAATTTTAAACTCTAACCACTTGATGCATATGAGAATGAAAACGAGCTATTCAAGATTATCGTTTGCGGAAATATATGAATAATAAGTGTTCTATGGAACACTGGTGGCGAATCGAGTGTTTAGTGAGTAGAATGGGTGAAATGAAATATAAATAAAATGTTGGGCGAACATTGTGGTGGAAGGTGTTGGGGTGAGGCTGAAAACACGAGAGTCGTGATCCTCGTGCTCCTGATATGGGTGGGATGTGTTGTGTGGCTGCACTACGAAGCCACTGCTGGGTTATCGTGATTTATTATTATTCATGGCCAGTTGGGACTACTCGAAATAGACATTCAAATGCTTTTCTTTGCTAAATCAATTATTGGAAATGGAAATGTTACTTCTATGGTACTCTCACAGTCTCCTACAACCTCATTGACTTTTTATTGTGAGTGGGGAATACGGAATTTTATGCAGTATTGGTATTGATTAATTATTTATTAATGAAAATATTTGACTGAATTATTAGGCATGACTTTCAATTTTAATAAATGAGGGAATGGTGACAAAAAAATTAATAGTGTTGAATAGTTGTTGGAATTTTTCTTCATTGTTCGGAAATCACTGCATGGAATTGCATCTTTTTTTTTAAGTGTAGGTATTGTTGAGCCCTATCGATCGTTATTAATTAAAATTTAATTCATCGATTAGTTTTTTTAATTTGCGAATTTTTCGAAAATCGTTGTCCCACGATAACTAAAAAATGTTCTGAACTGATTGAATGATGGCTAACAAATTAAAAATTTGTTTGGATGTCAATTTTTTTTTAATAAAATAGAAAAAAAATTAATTGCTGAATTTCAACTTTTTCTTTAATGATCTCGTTGTTTATAATTGAATAATCCTCATTAAAAAGAAGTGCTCCCAAATAAAGTCCGATAATTCTCCCGAATACCCGCGCTCCGATTAAATATTAACCGCAATGTTTAACCAAAGGCCGAATTGCCGACTTTACGACGACTACCGGTCGCATTAAATCTCTCACCCAAGATTCATGAGTCGATAAATAATTGAAGTGCATTGTGAGGAGTTTGTGGGCGTTTTGCCGGACTGAGGGAGGAAAAACTGAGCAACAAGGTGACCGGAGTGAGAGGGATACATTCACTCCTCTCGATTCACCGATGCGGGGTACCAATATATGAATTTCAAGAGTTTCGTTGCCCACGGCCAGACGCCTCGGATGTGAGACACCCCGCTGGGCGACGGGTTCCTGTTGCCCGCTCGTACATTTGTTTGCTCTAATTTTAATTAAACTTAATACATGGTTCTCGTGGTAATCGACCAGATATTTTTTTTACTCTCGACTAGTCAATTCCTGGAAATTCCCGATGCATTTGCGGCGTAAATCATCGTGTGAAGTATTGAATTATTTTTTTTCGTGCCCTGCACTGTTAGAAATACGGAATTTCATGGAAAATGTGGTAGTAATTCTGATGTGAGTGACATTGCATCCGATTTGAGACGGAAAATTCACAACTTGATTGAATTCTCAATGGAAGATGAATATTCAGAAATAAAATGAGATGAATTTTCAATTTTTCCCCGACTTTTCCTGGCGTTTTCGAATTTTTACAGAATAATTGAACTGAAAAATCAAGAGTTTTATTGATTTTCAGATTTTTGAAATAAAAAATCAATGGCATGATCGATTTTTTGATGACAAGATTTCCTAAAATTTCAGTGGACATTGAAAATCATAAAAATTTCAGGGATTTGACACAGAAATTTCAGACAAAAATTTTTAACAGTGAGATTGGCAAAATAAAGATAAAAATTAGCATTTAAAAAATTTTACTGAACATTCCCGGTTCGCGTACGAAAAATAGATTTCTTGAAATTCACCAACTAGTTGTTGAAAAAATGAATTAATCGTGGTCTCGTTAATTTTTATTCGCCTGACGTTCTGTGTTCAGAGACGGGGGCACGTGACCGCGCAATTATATGCTCGTCAGGTCGACCCTGGGGCGAGTGGTGGGGACCTGCAGTTTGCAGTCTCTGTCGTTCGAGGAATAATTAAAATATAATTTGTGATTAGGCTGGGGCTAATGAGTCCTATCGATCTGATTACGCTGGGTTGTTATGCGTTTGCACATGACGGGCCGCCCTTAGATGGCGAATTAGGGGTGAACAGTGTAATAATTTACGAGGAAACTATTTTTATAAAATGAAAAAAATGTGACTCTGCATAAAAAACTTCCGCAAATTTTTATCATGTTTAATTTCCACTGAAACTTCTGGAAAACTTGTGATTGATAAATCAAATATTTCAGAGATTTTCTGATCGAACGATCTGAAAATCAATAAAATACTTGATTTTTCAGTTCAATTATTCTGTAAAAATTCGGGGAAAAATTGAAAATTCCCATAATTTTGTTTCTAAATATAGTTCCATTGAAAATTTAATCACATTGTTGAAATTTCCGTCTCACTCCCACTGAAAACTCATGAATTTCGTTGAATTCTACCTAAAACTTGAAATTTCATAACCATTTTTCCCCAAATCGAATTCAATGTCACTCTCATGAGAATTACTACCATATTTTCCATGAAATTTCAACAAATTTCTAAAAGTGCAATAGGAATGTATTATTCGACGTTTTTGCGGGATAAAGAACGACATTTTTATTCAAATTCAAAGTATTGCTGGACAAAACGAGGAATGAGAGGCGGAAAATGATTTTTTCATCAATAAATTCAAGCAATTGAAAGGGGAATTATTCTAAATGAATGTTCATCGGAAATGCATGGCTCATTCATTCTCATCTGTTTATCAGACAGCTGTGATGTGCAGCATCCAGTGGCAAGTTGTTAACAAAATCAAGTTCTGACATTCTCACACTTCACCGTATTATTTGGCACACTTTTCTTCATTTTTTGGTCCATAACATCGAGAGAATCTCCTCCAAATCTGATCATTTTGACACTTAATTTAAGTTTCGTCCACGTGAACTTGAACAAATTTTACTTTAACAGCACTAGAATGTCTCTCCCTGTGGATTCCAAGAATCATCAATCTCCCTTTGTCAACGATTTTTCATTCCCCAGAATTTAAACATTTCGCTAAATAATTTTTTTGATAATCGATCCTTGTCCGCATCTACACGATCATTTTATACTCGGGGTAAATCGCCTTGTGCTTTATCCACACTGCCCGTTTAAATAATCTTGAAACATGCACTCACGTATAACGCTCTCTCTCCCCCAGTGCCTGGACGATACGGCCACGTCATGGATGGCTTTACGATCGTCTCTCGTCGTTAATTAAGAGCTTGTAATTATTTAGTGGAGACGCTAGCGCGCACCCCCGCCGGGGCAACCGGCTGGACCCCCCTCTCTCTCTCTACCTGCAATGTATCTACCATATCCTCTTTCCCAACCATCCCCCTCCCTTCCTCTACTCGAAAGATATGGTTTTTTTTTCTACAAACATCTTCTTGATTTACATCGGTTGGGAAAAAATTCGTTGACCTCTTCAGGAGATACAAAGAAAATTAGTCTATTTTCAGAGGGAGGCGGGGGGGAGGGGGGAATTGCTTGTTGTTTTTGGAAATTATTGTTGCATTGTGATCTGGAAGAAATTGTCAATAAGGGTGACGGATTTTTTTTTCCCCGAAAAAATTTCGCGGAAAAAATTCCCCTCGGAAAATTTCCCCCTGGAAAAAATTCCTCGTCTAAATATTCCCCCGGAATTATTTTTCCGGAATATTTTCCCCTGAAAATCACCGAAAAAAAATAAAAATCTCCGGCAAAAATGAAAAATAAAAATATTATAATTTTTAACTTTATTGTAAATGTTGGAAAGTATTCTTGTTACTTCTCCAAGTTACACATGATATTACGTTGTTCAGACATTAACAAGTTGGAACAATTTCCCCTGAGCATTTTTTATTGTTGTTGGAATTATTCAAATACTAGATGTCGGGTGAAATGTGGGTTTTTATGAATCTGAGAATTTGTAGGGCGAGAATGCTTTTTAATGAAGATTCATTGGTTATTGGGGCAAGAGATTAATTCGAATTATTTGGGGGAATTGGCTCGAAAATGTTGACAATTAATTTATTGCAGTAACGTAATTTATTTATTATTGATCTATTGAAATTATTGATGTATTGAT